CGTGGTGGATTGTAAGTAACCAAAGGGAACGGCTCGAGAGACGATCCATAAAGGTTCAAATATAGAGGGAAAGGGCCTATGAATAAGAGTGCACCCCCTTTTCCAAACAGTTAAGGGTCTTGGGATATTTGTGGTTAAGCGTCCTTAGGTGTGAATAGTACTGGGCTGGGTGACCTCCCGAGAAGTCCAAACTCAAGAACTTACACAATTGAGACACTTTGTACAAAAGGATTAGGAACAACAGATACCACCTATAGATCCACTGATGCCTCCTCTTAATGTTCCACTAGATCCCAGCCTATCTATAGGAGAACCCTGATAGTCTTCCATTATTCCGAGAGGCGGGGATGATGTGAGGTCCAAGTGTACAGCTATGATGTCATATACTAATATTAATATAGTGGGATTTTGGTAGCTGTTGGATTGGTTTCAATCCGGATCACTATAAGCTAGGGTTTTTCCCTTTCTATATTTCATGCACTCACAGATTTATTATTAAAAAAGTTTAATTATATTTATAAATACATTTTATAATTAACATACTTACTAATTTATTCTATAAATTTTCTTATACATGGCTCAAATGAAGTAATAACAAAGCCGTCTGGATCTTCTATTTTGCTCCAAGAATTAGTCTCCAAATTAAAATAAGTAGGAGGGATATCATAATCTGCATAAATCACTATATAATCTCCATGGATACTAATGTTGAAACATGGTTCCAAACTGGATGGATCATCTTCAAATTCTTCTTCCCATTTTACTCCGAAAAACTCAATCAAGTAAACCTGATTTATTATATTCCAAGATAATTCCACCTTGTCAAGTTCGAAAACACTGAAATACTTATCTCTGTATCCTCTTGGGCGGCTAAATGCCACCAAAATCCATCTTCCCTTGTGTTGAAATATACGATGGGCATGACACCTGTATTCCAAAATCTTCCTTGGAATGTCTATCAATACCACATAACTCTGCCACATTTCCATGTCATCTGTTATTCCAAACACTTCAATCCCTCCTCCTCCAAGGGTATAAGGTGTACCAACAAACTCAAGGCATTCTTTGTTGCTTTCTATCCAAAGCTCAAGCTCTTCCAAGCTCAAGAAGACCCTTTGATTGTTGTCCCAACTCTGCCACTCCCAAACCTTGGAATTGAAGAAGAAAACCTTCTTTGCTTGATCATGTTCTTTGAGCGGTGAAAAGTCAATACGATTGTTCCCAGTGAGGACAAATATCTTGAAACTATCCCTGGAACTTCCTGAATCATCATCCACCAATAGCTCGACATGAGTCAGCTTCCCGAGATAATGATCAAAATCATCCTCTTCTTCGTCTCGTGGAAATAATGGAAGCCCTTTCCACTGTCGCGTGAAAGGGTTTCCGACCCAGAAGCTCTCCCATCCGAAACTAAAGAAGAGGCCCTTGCAGGTTGCTAGGCAATCAAGGCCATCCTCCTCGTAGAATGGATGGAGGTCCAGCTTGAACCGCTGCTTGGAGGCAACAAACCACACCTCGTACTCTTGGTCATCCATACGTACCAGCACACCGGGCTCGCTCGGATCTTTAATCGCATGGAGCCACTCTTGGTAGAGCTCTATGATGCAAGACTTCCATTCCTTGCACACGGCCGTGCATCTTGCCAGATCCCGCTTGGGCAGAAGCCGCCGCTCGAATAACGCACGCGCTACTTCCATACCCTAGTTCCCCCAAAAAGGAAAAGAAATAGAAAGCAAAAAAGGATCTTGGGATCCGTTGAACGCCAAGCCGAGAGTTTCCTTTTCCAGCCTGTGTTGTTTCCAAGATTTCTGTTGGAAGAAGTCCCGACCATATGGGCTTTCAGTTGCGTCTATCCATTTTCTGGCTGTCCGGTGCTTACGTTGGGAATCCATACAGGAGAGAGGTGGATGCTATAGTAGATGTTCGCTCGCAGCTACGCGCGTTTGGCGGTTGCGATCTTGGTGTGGATCCCTGCTTTCCAGGGCAGGGTGATGCCGAGGTATTTGTAACTTGCCGCCGCATGCAAGGCTTTCCGCCCTTTCCCGCAACTGGCACCTGGATGAATCGATGCAAGCCTCGCAAACACTTTTCTCCAGTTTGGACGACCAAAATGCGTTTGAACCTGGGGAAGAAAAATAAGAAAGAAGATGAATCACAATGGAAGTGTGAGAGACAATATCAACACCACTTAGTGCGTGATGCAACGCTTGGATCACACCGATAAGCATGGAGCGAGCGTCTCCTTCTTCGTAAGCACTCGTTAGATAGTTATGCATCTCGATCAAGGCCTGTAAAGAAGCACCACAAAGATTTGTAAAAAGAAGAGGAAGATAGAAATCACTAAAGTTTTCCTGACCTTGTGATCAAGCTGAGAGACTTCGTTCATGGCTCCTTGAAACCATTCAAAGGAGACTGTGATGGTGCTCCATGTGGTCCATTAACACAGGATGTCTACACGGAAAAAATTTAGAGATCATACGAAAAGCTAAGAAAACAAACTTGATACGACCTGCACATAAGCCATGAAAAACTTGTTAGTTTTCTTCACGGGAAACTTACTTGAGAGAACATTTTCATTAGCTCTTGCGGGCTGCGTATGTGTATACTTAAATACTCATCTTCCGGTGCGGAAGTTCTGGAAAATGGATGCCTGTAACACAAACAAATCTTTCAGAAAAAAAATCTTTTGTTGCACACAACCCTAGCTTACCATTCGAAACATGGTGAAACAGCCGGGCATTGCAAGAGATACATTCCACTCTGATATCTAAAGCCCGGAGGTTTAGTCATGTATAAAGCAAGAACATTTCCTGGGTAAATGAAACATCGTTAAAAAAGGATCGAGCAAAGCAAAACTTGAAAAGATTCAACTTTGTTTACCTTTACAATGCTAACCTTTTAAGTACAGGCTTGTAGAGCGGTAGCTATATACCCAGGCCTGCGAGAACAACGAAACATGAAGAAGAAGAAAGGTGTTTCTTTTCTCTCCAGTCCCGAGCGAGGAACAAAAAAATGGAGTGAACGATGAGAAGACCGTAAACGAAATGGTGCGAGTACCATTTTGAAAGGCATTGAAGCCCGTCAAACCTGTGGAATGGCCAGTGGAGCTTAACGATATTTCTCCTCGACCAGTGCGTGGCCAGCAAAAACGCGATGCTCATGAGCAGGACCATTCATTCCCTCGATTGAAAGCACCAAATCCAGGTACGTCGGCTGCACGGACTTGAAGTTCACGTGTAATATCTGTATGATAGTCCACAGTGGAAATCCGGTAAAATCGCTGGTTAAGCTGGTTGCAGCAGCAACCACTTAACCTGCTTAACCAGCTTAACAGAAGAACATGTAAGAAGCTCTGACTGTGAAGATTCGTCAATGAAAAAAGGACGACAATGGCGATGGCGATGAAAAGTATAAGAAATGCATAAACAATAAAGCACGTCAAAGACACCCAAGCCAAGTACCAGAGATGGCCGGAACAATACTTTAGCTTTTCACTGTCAGGAATCAATCAGTCATTAGAAGAACAAGGTGTCAAGGAAGAACATTACGATCAACTTGAAATGAGAGCAAAGGAAAGAAACACCAGGGACCCAAGCAACAGAGAGAATCAACCCAGAAGATGAAAACAAAAAGCCAGGAAGTAGTGAAAAAAATTTCCGGGATAGACCTTGCCAGTAGCACAATTAAGAAGAACTTGTAAGCAAAAAAACCAAACCACTGGAGAAGATGGAACTTGCAGCGAAGGGTAAGAAGAAGGAACAAAAGAGAGAAATGTCGCAGTGACGAAGAACCAAACACCAGACAAAAAACATACCTGCAACAGTAGCTGCTCCAAATCCCTGATCCATGTCAGAATGGGTGATCATGGATATCGGCATCACAACCTTCACAGACCTTCACAGATTATTCTAGTTAGCACAATGCCCAGGTAACTTGAAAACACAAGCTTTTGACGGCCATGAATTCTGGCGCTCCACCAGTGGCAACAGGGGTGATGCTTATCGACTGTGGGACAGTTTCTTTCTTCTTCTTCCTTGTTTGTAGCTTAAAGGACGCTTGAACGAAACAACAAAGTAGCAAAAGAGCTGCATCAGTAAGTAAACAATCGGTGTCAACGAGCACGTACCAGTGCTTCCAGAAAGACAAGGTGCAATTATGTGTAACACAATCCTGTCCAAAAGAAAAAACGTATAGAAAAAGCATACCGCATTCACAACAAGGGCAGCAATAGAGTTCTCATGATCTGTTAAGCGTTTTGACAGATCTGGAAATGCAGCAAAAAGATTCGCATTTTAAAACACAAAATCTGGAGCTCTTACCAGAGAGAATGATGAAATCAAATGTGTACAAAGGGGCTCTCACTCACGAGTCATGAGCTGAGTGTCAATTCCTCCATAGGCGTGTTGTACTAGCGGCTTGGACTTCATGGCTTCTCCCGGAAGAATTTTGTTGATGGAAGTACGCAAGAATTTCGTTGAATACAGAGGACTCCACTGATTTGAAAGAAAAGGAAGATCAGAAACGCTGGCAAAAGGTAAAACGAAAAGCACCTTGACGGTACCAGATCTCGGTAGCGGTAATCTCAGATCTTAAGCAGGCACCAGCCTCCATGGAAGGAAGATAAGTAAAACGACATGGTTCCGAGCTAGTGAAAATCAAGGACAAAAACTGGAAGGAAGAACGTTACCTGGAAAAAAAAGCGAAAGAAGCGTGTTCTGATCAAATGGACCCTGTCCAAACTCGTCCTCCGATCTGGATGTTCTCGGGAATCAATCCCGTCTGCCAAATAAATCTCTCTCTCTCTCTCTCTCCCCTCACCTTGCCAACGAGCCGTCTGCGACACTTTAGACCAAGCTTGTACTTGAGGCTAAGCTTTGCCACGTGTGCTCCGGGCAAACATTGATGCCCAAGAACCCTAAGTCCCAGGGTCTGGAGAATTTCATGGCGCTGACGCTAAGATAAATCGATTGCTGCTGCCTCTGGCAGAAATTCCATGGTGGAGGCTGCTTGATTCTGGCCGCAGTGCCATGGCAATGCTCGATGCCGGTGCTGTGATGGCAAGGCTCGATTCCTGCGGTGCAATGTCTGGCTGTGCCGCGATGGTGAGGCTCGATTGCGGCCGCTGTGCAATGGCAATGATTGCTGCTTCCGGCTGTGCTGCGAGGTCTGGATGCTTTCTTGTGTTGGAAGGGCTCAAAGTTTATTTGATCAGGCAAGCGAGATTTACATGGAGAGAGCATTGGTGCTGCTTCACGCAATTGTATCACTCAAGGTGTCATCTCTACTGGGTTAGTGTTCTACTTATTATGCTTTGTAGCATAAACTACCAAAGGTTGATGACCAGAGAAACTCTAATTCCACTGTGCTTGTGGAGGTTGCTCTTACCATAAAAACCCTCCAGATGAGTAATGTTATTGGTTTTTTAGTAGTAATGCTCTCATCATGCTTTCCAGGGCAAGCCCTTACTAAAAGCATTTTACTGGGCAAAGAATAATTCCACTTTACTAGAGTTTGTTTTTGCTTTCTAGGTATTTTTTTGTTTTTGTAGTTTTTCAATAGTAGTGCTTCATCACATGCTTTATAGCAAGAGTTGCATTGGGTGGAAGTTACTTTTATTGTTAAGCCCAAGTTAGAATGCATTTTTCCAGACATGTTTATTTACTCTTTTTTTAAAAAATTAAATTCTTTTAAAAGCAACACAATTACTCTTGGATATTTTGGGATCATGGAAACTATTTAAAGTTTATCATAAATATCAAAATGGAATAGAAAAATTAATTCAATAATTAATTAATTAAGGCAATCTATATTTACTACTATTGTTTTCTTTGGGTGCTAAACCCGTACAGGCGAAAGGAAACTAATAATACCTTTTTATTTTAAAAGTTTGGTTTTACAAGATTTATTTTTTAGGTGATAGCTGCGGATAGTGTAATGCATAAATTCTTAAGCTTCAAAATGAGGTTGAAAGGGTGCTATATGGTAATGGTCGAAGTAGAAACCAAATAAATGTAACACATTTAAATTAAAAGTTCTGACTCAAAAAATTGAGAGTTGGAGTGGAACTCCCAACAAAATGCTTAAAGAACAAACATTAAGTAATCATAAAAAATTTAATTATATTTATAAATATATTGTATAATTAATTTATTTTATAGATCTTATACATGGTTCAAATGAAGTAATAACAAAGCCATCTAGATCTTCTATTTTGCTCCAAGAATTAGTCTCCAAATTAAAATAAGTAGGAGGGATCTTGTAACCTACATAAATCACTATATAATCTCTATGGACGCTGATGTTGAAACATGGTTCCAAACTGGATGGATCATCTTCAAATTCTTCTTCCCATTTTACTCCGAAAAACTCAATCAAGTAAACCTGATTTATTATATTCCAAGATAATTCCACCTTGTCAAGTTCGAAAACACTGAAATACTTATCTCTGTATCCTCTTGGGCGGCTAAATGCCACCAAAATCCATCTTCCCTTGTGTTGAAATATACGATGGGCATGACACCTGTATTCCAAAATCTTCCTTGGAATGTCTATCAATACCACATAACTCTGCCACATTTCCATGTCATCTGTTATTCCAAACACTTCAATCCCTCCTCCTCCAAGGGTATAAGGTGTAACAACAAACTCAAGGCATTCTTTGTTGCTTTCTATCCAAAGCTCAAGCTCTTCCAAGCTCAAGAAGACCCTTTGATTGTTGTCCCAACTCTGCCACTCCCAAACCTTGGAATTGAAGAAGAAAACCTTCTTTGCTTGATCATGTTCTTTGAGCGGTGAAAAGTCAATACGATTGTTCCCAGTGAGGACAAATATCTTGAAACTATCCCTGGAACTTCCTGAATCATCATCCACCAATAGCTCGACATGATTCAACTTCCCGAGATATTTATCAAATTCATCCTCTTCTTCGTCTCGTGGAAATAATGGAAGCCCTTTCCACTGTCGCGTGAAAGGGTTTCCGACCCAGAAGCTCTCCCATCCCCAACTAAAGAAGAGGCCCTTGCAGGTTGCTAGGCAATGAAGGCCATCCTCCTCGTAGAATGGATGGAGGTCCAGCTTGAACCGCCGCTTGGAGGCAACAAACCACACCTCGTACTCTTGGTCATCCATACATACCAGCACACCGGGCTCGCTCGGATCTTTAATCGCATGGAGCCACTCTTGGTAGAGCTCTATGATGCAAGACTTCCATTCCTTGCACACGGCCGTGCATCTTGCCAGATCCCGCTTGGGCAGAAGCCGCCGCTCGAATAACACACGCGCTACTTCCATACCCTAGTTCTCCTAAAACGGAAAAGAAATAGGATCCCAAGCCGAAGGTTTGAGTTTCCTTTTTCAGGCCTTCCAAGCACCACTATACGTGCTTGTATACTCTGCCATTGCGGTGGACACGGCAAAAGGTATGCCTGTTTTCTTTTCTCTTCTCTCGATCACTGTTTTTCCCCTCCAGGTTTTTTATTGTTTGATTGGCGTGGCGAGTCTTGGTACGCTTGTTAGCTAGTGTAAAATCCTTGCGTTACACAGGTTTTGGACAGGATATTGTCTATATTTCGTGCTAAACGTGATTGCACCCTGCCAAGGATGGTATTGTAGCCATGGGTACACGTCTTTAATGTGTGTGCTTGGCTCGTTTTACTGACGAGTGTTTCTTTATTGATGCAACTGTTCCTCAGATACTGTTTCTTGCTACCTTCTTGCTGTTGTTATCTTCCTTTTGTCTAATGTATCGAGAAACTTATCCTCTATCAGGGTGGATCTTTGTCATCAAGCCACAGATAAGGAAGAGGAGGAGGATGACGAGGAAGAAACTGATGGTGCTCAAGCACAGGCTGCAGTCGGCAAGGATCCGAAAGTCCCATTGCACACGGACAAGCATCGCCGCTTTTGTCATTGGTGAAGATCCAGAACTCATGGCCGTCAGAAGTTTGTGATAGCGGTGAGTTTCCAAGTTACTTGGGTATTTGGTACTAACTTGAATTATTTTTCAAGGTTGTGATGCTGATATTCATGATCACCTTAGTCTGTGCAATTCTGATATGGATCGAGATGGGGGACAATGAGACTGTTGCCGAGGTGACAAATAATTATCGATCCATGCTGCGTTGACATGATAGTTGCTTGCAGATCTACTCGGATATGCTTGCCATTGTTATTTTTTTGTCCGGTGGGGGCCTGGCAGGATATGGTATGAGGGTTCCTTTCGGAACCGTATGTTCTAATGAAAGTGTTTCCAAGATACTAACTTCATTTCATTTAGATAAAATTCTAATTTAAAATAAATCAATTTATATATAGTATTGTGAGTGCTTGGAATATCGTACACTTAAACAACAAACCACAAACCATCAAAAGATTCCTTCTGCAATGCATCCATACCTATGAATGAATACAGAAAGAATACTACGGACGTGTATCGGCTGCGAATTTTAAACACCTGCAAAATAGGCCTGCCATAGCTGATGTCGCACAAAGTGGAATCAGGACTTAACGCCCAAAAGAATGAAAAGAGCACGTATGGAGAAGCACAGCACCGATACGACTGCCAACCCTGCTACCTGAGAGCAAATAAACTTGAGAGTTTCCCCTCATATTTCCAGAAAACGAAAAAGATTCAAACCTTTTGTAACTCTGCTGATGTCTTTCCAACACGCAGCCTGCTCATCCTTGTATATAATGCAAGTCCTGAAGTGATACCTTGCGTGGTGGTGCTCTGGGTGATGAGGAATAATCCGTCACGACTGAGCAGTACGCAGAGTCGGCGGTCCGTGACCTCGGTTTCCGGCTATCAGCAAGCTTTGGCGCAAGAACAGGCACTTCTGCAGCAGTGGATAGTTCCGGATGATATGGAGTCGATGATTGTGGCGTCTAGCAGAAGCAGGAGGAGCAAGTCTGGAAGAGTAGCTGATTCTTCAGAGGTACGAATGTTGTGTTTTTGCTCTCTCATCTATCAAGCTCCACTTGCATTTTGCTTTCCAGGGAAGCACAAGCAATTCTGGCTAAATAAAAGCAGCGGTGTAAATACCAATTCTTTCATTTGTAATTCAGGAATTTACCTCTGTTTCATGGAGCTGCTGGCATTCTTTTCTCCAGGACGCCTATCGCAAGCACGCAAAGTGGCAGTTTGATACCATGTCTAAAAGAGATGCGAAAGCTTTCATTGAGAGGATCACGAGCGGAAAAAGTCAGTGCAAGTCAATAAAAAGTCAATAAGTAAATGAAAGTCAATGGCATTGAAAGCTGTCTTGCTTCCTTTAACTCATTCCAGAGACGCTGCTGAGCGCCAAAAAGCACACTCACACAATGTAAGAGCGCTGAAAAGCTCCAGGCGGTGTCCGAGTTTGTCTCAAAGGCCCCACCTGCATGAAAAGGAGGCCGTCTATGGCTCACTTGTGGAGCTGGGACTCGGCCGAGATGGACGTGACACTGGCATTGTGCCACATCACGCACCTCTCCGACGTCGAGAGGAGCGCGTGTGCTGGGACGCTGGGTTGGGATGGTGCGCGGGAGCAACTGGATTGCATGGTTGATTTTGCTCGCCACCAGCTGCTCTCGACTGGATCAGCTGGAATTGTTAGCCTTGGGTCGCTTGAACAAGACGAGGAGGTGAGTGAACCAAGTTTTGCAACGATTGTTATACAAAAGTTCTTAAGGTTATATCCTTCGTTTTTGTTTCCCTTTGCTAGTGAGTTCTGAGTTGCCTGCACGCAACACCATCGCTATGGATTATTGTCCTCCACCACCCCTTGTAGTGGGGAATTCAGATGTAAGAGCATTGCTTTGTTTAACTATTCTTATCGACCACTGCTTGGAGGGCGCTGCCAGGCACAGCCAATGCCAATCTTCTGGCACGAAAAATTCTCTTTCTCCTTGTCTGCCGAGATGACGATGGCGAGTAATTATAAATCGGGCTTGGGGAGCGCCTGCGTCGCACCAGTGCCGAGGCTACTTGGCTTAATCTCCAGAGTTCTGAAAGCCGACTTTTTCTTAATTCTCCCAGTGGACAGGCTGGTCAGCTTCTTACCGTGTTTTCTTTGTTGAAATCTTTAAGTCTCTTCCACAGGGATGGAACATGCTGTCGGGCAAAGTTGGTAGTCAAGATAGAGTAAGACGGGCTTACCCGCAGCTTGCACTACACGCGGCCGACCCGCCTCGCCTGCGTACGTTTTCCGATGAAAAAGAGTCTGCACCTTTGCGGGTCAAGGACCTGGTACTGCTGTTTGAAGGGATCCAAAACAACAAGCTGCTGCTCGTCACGGAGAGGCCGCCCCTGTCAATCTTGCCGCACCAACATGCCATCTGGACTTGCATGCAACACGCTCGCATCTGGCTCGACGATGGGACCTCCACATCTACTACGACCACAACTTGACGTGTAAGTTGTAGTCTCTGGTAGTCTGAAAAGCTTGTCCACTTCTCTGGAGATGGCCGGCTTGGTACAGAAGATGTTACAGAGGAGGAGGAAGCGGAGGTAAATGTCGTGAGATTTCTTTTGTCGTGCTGAGTTTGTGCTGATTGTGTGACGTCGCCAAGGTTTTGCGGAATGGTTTCTGCAAGGAACGGATCACGTCTTTGATCGGGCAGACCATTAAAAGCTACACTGTGGAAAGCATGTGGTATGTGATAGAGATTCCATCTGATCGATTGGAACGGCATGTAAAATCGCTGTTTGAATAAGCGGCCAGAGGATTACGATATAACAAAGCCACCAGAGACAGCGATGTGGCGTGCTTACAGAAGGTATGTTGGGCATCTTTATGAGATCAACTTTGCGTACACGAAGCGCCTTTGCGGAGAGACAAAGTCGAGACGCAGCAGGGATGCCCTTTTTCCGCCTGATGCTGAGGAGGTCTCTGTCGATCTTGACAGGAATAGGATCGAGAAATGGATGTAGGAAATGTATATCTTTTTGCGCACAATCTTTCTTATTCCTCTGTACGTTAAACTTCTTTTTATTGCTGGTTAAATTGCTGATTCCAGACGTATCGCAAAGCTGATGGGATCGTCCAATCGCAAATGAATATGAACCTATCATCTTGAACACCTGAAAGAAAGAATTTCAGCACACAATCGAAAGCAAGAAGGTATGGGAAAGTAATGCTCTCCACTGACACTCTCTTCTCCAGGACTTCACAGCTCGTCTCTCACGCAAAGAATGGAAACCTCACGCGCGCAAAGTGGCTGTTCGACACCATGCCCGAACGAGACGCTGTGTCCTGGAACGCGATGCTTTCGGCATATGCCCAGACCGGGCATCTGGAAGAGGCAGAGAAGTTTTTCCAGGAGGTACCCTGCCAGAATCTCGAGACGTGGAACTGCATGCTGTCTTGCTTCGAGAGAAATGCCGAGCTAGGAAAGGCAGAGTCACTCTTTGACAGGATTCCGGCCCGGAATGTGGTAACTTGGAATGCCTTTCTTTCGGCATATGCCCGTCACGGGCATGCTGCCAAGGTCATCGCCCTTCACAATTCCATGCCGGAATGGAGCGTGGTTACATCGACGGTTGTTCTGACAGCGTATTCGCAAGAGGGGAGAATCAACGATGCAGAGCTCTTGTTTCACAGAATGCCCACCTCCGACGTGGTTTCCACGACTGCTATGTTATCAGCATATGCCCAAAGCGGGCATATTCTTAAAGCTAAGAGATTGTTTGAGAGAATGCCCGAATGGAACTTGGTCTCCTGGAATGTGATGCTCGCTGCTCACACCCAAAGTTTCCATTCCTTGGAAGCGAAGAGCCTCTTCAAATCAATGCCAGTCGTGGATTTGGTGTCATGGAATGTTATATTGAACGGAAGCTCTCTGGAAGAAGCAAGGCAAGTCTTCGAAGTCATGCCAGAGAGAAATATAGTTTCCTGGAACACTCTTCTTTCCTCGTTCGCGCAGCACGGGCATTTAGAAGAGGCCAAGCAAATCTTCTCGGCAATGCCGGAGCACGACTTGAAGGCCTGGAACTCGATCCTCTCGGGCTCCGCCAACTTTGAGAACTTTCGCGAGATACTGCGCCTCTTTGGAGCAATGCCTGCGAGAGATTTGATATCCTGGACTGTTCTCCTGGCTGCGAACTTCCAGAATGGTTTCGTCGATCGGGCCACCAAGATCCTGGAGCGGATGGAGCAGCGAGACCTGGTTGCCTGGAGCGTGATGCTCGCTGGCCTTGCTCACAGCGGCTACTTCCACCGAGCTATAGAGACGTTCCACTCGATCAAAACCACGTCTACACCTGACGAGACGTGCTTTGTGCTGGCCCTGCTAGCTTGCGGCCACGCCGGGAGAGTTTACGATGGAGTCCGCTGCTTCGTCTCGATGAGCTTGGATTTTAAAACACGACCTTCCAAGCACCATTATACGTGCGTCGTGGACATGCTCGGTCGTGCCGGCCACTTGGAAGACGCTCACGATCTTGTCTCCAGTATGCCTTTTGCACCAGACGCTCTCGAGCTGACTTCCATTCTTCGTACCTGTCGGAGCCACGGCGATCTTGAGCTCGGAGCGCGGGCCACTGAAACTATCCTTGAGTTGGGCCCGGGCGATGGAGCTGGCTACGTTCTTCTTGCAAATATCTTCTCAACGGACGTAAAACTGCTCGGGCTGTGTAAAATCGGTACCTATAACTTCCCCGCGGCATTTCCAGAGGTCTTGAAATGCAGGCCGGATCCAATGTGTCCTACTGCCATCGGGCAAAACCAGCACGACGCTTTGGGGCCCAAAACCTGGACGTAGAGCTGCTTTTGTGAGATTGGACACGAGTAGAGGAATGAAGAAAATACGTACTACCAAAATGTTTGAAAGAGCTCCAAGGTCGTATGGATGACTATAAGGTCCGGAGGTGTGTGCTAACCATTTTGCACGTACCCCTTCGTAGTACTATGAAAGAATCAAATGAGAACACTGGTTCTTGAGAGTTCTTTTACCTCAATTGTGGTTCTGTTATGTAAGGAAAGGTAGATATGCCAGACCAGGAGACCCGATAGTGCAACGGAGAGGGGAATAACAACGATGCCGCAAATTATCTGTGGACAAAGACATGGTTTAGAGAGAAAACCAAACACTGTGGAAACCAAAATCACACCTTTAGAAGAGAAGCAGTAGCCACAGATGCCTTGACCGGCTGGACGATCGCTGCGTCATCCTCCACTGCCACGACCTCTAGAGCTCTCTCAAACTCGTCAACCGCGTGAAAGCCAAGCACCACCTAAACTTTCCACAACGTGAAAACTCGAACGAAAACAGATCAAACGCGAGAATACCAGAGAGTAGATGCATGCTGAGGTGATGTAGAGGACGAACAGGAAAAAGGACTTGTAGTTGTTGTGACCAACGCAGTTGTTGATCCACAAACAATGGTGATCCTGGAACAGCGAAGCTCGATCACAACCAGGAAAGGAAACGATGGAAAGAAACTTACCATCCGGAGAACACAACGCTTGCAAACTCGGCAATGGTGAGCTCGCGGTGGCTTGTAGACTCTGCATTTTTGACAGTAGCGCAAATCTCCCCCCTGCGAGCTAGCATTGTAACTAGCGAAACAAAGAACAAAGAAAAATTCTACCTTGCGCTTCACTTCTTGGAGAGGAGCTTGCTGGGAGTCCTCCACGTCGGGCAAATACGAAGAAGGAATCTCCCCTGGATCCCTGAGAATCGCTAGAGCGTAAGAAACCAGCGCCATGAGAGTGGTAGCAGTGAAGGCGAGGGCATTGGCGAGGCCATTCGCGGTGGCTAGATCAAGCCACGGATCTAGGACTAGAAATACCACCGTGTAGTAGACAAATCCCACCAGCATCAACACCACCGCCACCGGCAGCGATAGGCAGCTCCTGTAGCCCATGGCGGCGATCGAGGAGAGAAATCTCGCAATTAGAATGCCGCCGCGGAGGATGATTCTTACATGGAGGAGCGCCACACATCCCGGCGCCGGAGGGATTCATTCACGAGGAAGAACCATTCAGTGAATCGTCAATTCGAAGAACCCTAGCCCAGGCTTTAAACCCGCTAGGCTAGACTTTCTATTTTATACTTCTTTTCTTCATCCTTTTGTCTTTGTTTGCTTGTGAATGGAAAGCGCGCTAGATGCTTCGAGATTCCTTTCTCGGAAATTCTTTCCAGAAGTTCGCGATACGTTCTTCTCGCGAGCGCTCGCTCTTTGATGGAATTTTTTTCTCGACAAGGATTCTTTGCGCGAGATCTTTCACCGCGCATTCTTTGCAGCTTCTTTCACCGCTACCGAGGCTTGCTGCGTGATTTTCGCGAAACAAGAGCTTGACAGTGAGCTTGAGTCGAAGATTGCGTCCGAGAGAACCACTGCCGAGGCTCCGGCATCCAAGTAAGGCCGGATCATCTCTACAAATGATAGAAAAGTAAGAATCTCACGAGAAAAGTTTTACTTACCAAGTGTGATTCCTTGAGAAGCGATCATAGGGATGTGAGCTAGCAACTTTCGCAGCGATCTCACGTACTTGACACCACCAGCGAGGTCTGTGGGATAAATCTAAACAAGAAAAAGTTTATACCAAATAGTTCTTTGCGACACGAACCTTGACAATGTGTGCTCCATAGCTATGAGCAGTATACACCTGGTCAAAAATGAAAGAAAAATCCAGTTTTTCAAAGAAAAAAATCGAAGAACGTACTTCTGTTGGTGTCATTGCTCCTGGGACGAACAACACAGGCCCGAACGAGTGGATTTCCACGAGCTCCTGAGCGATTTTATGTTTGGAGTTTCTAAGTTGAAAGTGATTGATTCTTGTAGCGAAAACATAAGAGTAGCACCTTCACGGTGATGGGACTTAGGAGAAACGTTGCTCCGCTAGCCTTGGCCTCCTCAGCTTGATCGAGAGATAAAACAGTCCCAGCCTGAAAGACAAAGAGTTTTAACTTTGTTTTTTCCAGTAGACTTGACTTACTCCTATAAGTGCTGATGGATACTCGTGAACCAACGTGGCGATCACCTACAGTAAGAAGAAAGCTCTAGAGTTTGTACATAAATTTTTGGGGAAAAGAGAGCACCTTGCTAGCTCCTGGAGTAGTCATAGTTACTTCGAGCTGTAAAGGAGGAAAACAAAAAGAAAGTTCTATCACTCAAAGAGAGAAGCTTTGATCGGACTCACCACGTCCAATCCTCCATCCAATGCAGCGCGAGCAGCATCTAGTGCCAGCTTTGAGCTGCAAAGTTTTGTTTTCATACTTCAGGAAAGGAGAGCTTCCAAAGAAAAAGGAAAGATGATCGGGACAAATGCACATATCTACCTGTGAGCCCTGAGGCAAGCGACAATCTTGGATTCCCGTATCCTGTGAATCGAGCAGCAGCTTCCATGATCATCTGGGGATGGCCAGGCAATTTGGGCTCCACAAGCACTACGCCTTTGATCAATCCCAGCACCGAAAGCGTTAACGCTCCAGCTCCTCTCCCCAAACATCGCCATAGCGCTGTCCTAATCAACAAAAGAGATACCCTTCTGGCAAAAGGAAAAGTTTTAAAGTTTCTCTCCATCTCTTTGTATAATTGATCAATCGACACCATGTTGGAGCTCCCTGCTATCGATTTCTCAAGCTCCACTACCATTGTGGCGGCGCAGATCCGCAAAGCACACGACAAGTTTGGCTTCGTTCGCCTAGTGAACCATGGCGTCCCGGTGGAGCTGCTCCAGAGGGTGCTGGATCACCAAAAGGAGTTCTTCGCGCAAGATCTCGACTATAAGAGCAAGTTCTTGGCGGATTCCGGCTACCGCACAGAGGGCTTCAATCCTTCTCCTTCCAACGTTGGGATAAAGATCAAACGCGAGCATCTCTACTTGTTCTTGCGGCCGCTCTCGAGGAGAGATCCACGGAAGTGGCCAGACTCTCACAAGTATAGTTCTTTTCCGAGAGTTTTATACGTTTCTTATCACTGTTTCAGGGATTTGGTAGAAGAGCTGGGAGTTTGCTCCACCAAAGTCTACGAGAAACTTATAGTTGCGCTATCCATGGCCTTGGATCTAGATCCACTCTATCTGCGAGACACTTTGTGCCAAGGTGAATTGAAGCAAACCTTCTGCACTTTCAGCTATCCAAACAACGAGAAGGAAGAAGAGAGAGATGAGATTTATGGAGTTCCAGAGCATACAGATATTGGAACTTTGGTTCTCCTCTTTGCCGATGGAGTCCCATCTTTGCAAGTGCTCCTTGAAGGAGATGGCAAGTGGCATACAGTGAAACCACTCCCTGGATCTTTCATCGTGAGCTTCGGAGAGATCATGGAGGTAAATCTATCTAGAGTTAAGATGCAGCTTCTTTCAAGAGCCTCTAAACTTTTTCTAGGTGATGAGCAATGGAATCTACCGAGCTACTACTCATAGGGTGACCTTGGACAAGTGCAAGCCACGCTGCTCGTGTGCTATCACCTTTGAGCCATCGGAGAAAGCCCAGATCGGCCCTGCGAGCTCGCTGCTGGACAAGAGTCGCCATTCCAGAGTTTGCTACCGGCGCTTCATCTATGGAGAAAGATATAAAGAATACGAAGACGGCAAGTTTCTGAAAGATTTTGCGAAGTCCTGAGACTGCACTCATGTCAATAATATCTCAAGAATCTATAGAACTATCGTAAAATGATAGAAACAATGAATTATAATTTTATTATAATTATATTAAAAAAAATCTAGTATTTCGCTAAGAAGTTCTGGTAAAAAGTGTACATGTAAACCTCTCGCCGATTAGTTCTCTGCAATGGCCTTGCATTTCTTCCCTGCAATTTATAACATGAATTACCATGATGTAAAACAAATAAAGTAGCTTACCCCAAGGCACTGTTTCAGATCTTTGATCTGTTGCTTGGATGCAGTCTTGTTCTGAACCAAATAATAGAAACTTTAGAAGAAAAAAAGTGTGAAGTATACTAATACTTTGATCAAAATGGTCCAGGTTACTCCTTGGGTGCATGGAGGTGTTGTAAGAGACCCAATGTATCTGAAATATTCTTGTCCCAGGTTGAACTCCCTCAAGTCTAGCAAAGTTCGGACATTGTTTTTCATGTCAAGAACCTGTTTTGAAATATATGTATTATACATGTAAATTTTATGTCTGAATGCATGATCAATGAACACTTACTTGTGCAAGTAGACTGTTTTCTTCTCCCTTCTTATACATCTGGGCAACAACAGCCATCCTCGAGGAGTTGTCCATGGCACGATAAACAAGGTGTGCTTCAAGCTCAAACCTGCCAGGATTTTTTTCTCAATCCAAGAGGAACAGACTAGTTTTGTGCTTACTTTTTTCCATCAATGAAATGCTCGCTTGGGTGATGGAAGTGGAATTGCACCAGCCTAAACTCCATGCCATCAATGATCACAGTGTTCTCGGCATCACCATCCAGCCCAATCTACACGAATAATTGCAAGATCAATAAAATAGAACAAGATCAAAGTGTTGACACGAGCAATCAGAATTTAGAGGAGGTTTTACTCTGTAGAGGTACTTCTGAGAGGTGAGTGTTCCTGCGGAGTGGGAGAAATGGAATCTCAGCTTTCCAAGCGAGCAATCATCGATAGCATCTCGCGTTTTTATGTTAATGGGCGACTGCTGGGTCCCTGTTCTACACGTCGAAAAGTTTGTGGCAAGGCATCCCCACTGCCCTGGTCCCAGGGAATTGTCTTGGTAGCCAAAGCCTGCCACACACAAAAAATGTAGAAATAATTGAGAATAAGAACTAAATAAGATAGAATAATATAAAGAAAGTTAGATGATTGAAGAGGAAGAACTAAACTACTTGGCATGGAAATTTTTTCTTCTCCAGGATCATCCATATACCTTCTTCCGACTGTGAAGAAGCTAGAACAATCGCCAGAACAATCAAAAGAAACCCAAATTCACTCGATTCGAGTCCCATGCCACCGCTGCTGCTAGAATCAAAATCTAGCTCGCATTTTTCCCTTTCTTATTCCATCAAAAGCTCCAGTGGTGCATTGTGTGCATGGAGCGAGAGGTAATTTAATTCTATCCCGGGTGGGCGTTGTAAATTTCTTGGTGGTGATGTGATCCAAGTTGAATTTGCACTCCAGCTCCATCGTTGAATTTACTCGCGTGGTTGCAGGCCAACATTAACATAACACAAGAGAATGGAATCTCTGGAGATATGCCTTGGTGGGATATTCCCGGGCATAAGAGACAATGTTTGTGTGTGTGTGTGACTTTCTTTAGGTCCGGGAGTTCCATCTTCGTGGGAAGGAGCCCTCGCGCAAGGGCGAGGTTGCGATTTCGTGATAGAACAGTGATCTAGCGATCCAGCGCCTCCAAATCGAGGTATTTGATGCCCGCATTGGGATTAGGAGAGATTTCCTGGTGGATGCTCCATCCATCCATCCTTGCAGATTTTTAGCTAGGGAGTGGCGGGTGGAGTTCTTGCGAGAATGCATTACGGCGTTTGCTGCCCCTCCGCTGGGCTCCGGCGCTCATTCGTTCCGTCGGAGAGGTCGGCTTTCGCGAGGAATGGATCCAAAGTTTTGGATTCGTGCAAAGTCACGTCTCTCCCGAGGAGCTTTCGAGGGCGGCGGAGAGTTCTCCGTGCTGTGAAGTCGCTGGCTTCGCAGGATGATGAGTTGGAAGCTGGTCCATTGGAGCAAAGAGTTATGGAGGATGGCGCGATCATCGTCCAGGACGATTTGGATGTTCTTTTGGAGGTAAGAGAATTCCACGCTTCCATGAAAGATGCTTCATATCTTCTTCTTTGTTTGCAGATCCTTCCGGAAGGCATTCGTCAAAATCTCTTGAAGCATCCCAAGCGCGGGGATCTCTTGGAGGTTTGTGTGTGTTGGTACAGTAGCTAAGAGTTTCTAGCGATGGTATATCAAATCACAGGTGGTCTTGGATCTTGGACGTCGTCCCGAGGCTCGTTTTCTAAAACACAGAGGTGGAGAATACTTACGAGACAATGAGGTAAACCACTTGCTTCCATCCATCTGACTTAAGCTACTTTTCTATACTTCTTTTTTCATGGCAGATAACGAGAGATGATCTCCAAGCAGCCGAGGCTGCAGTGGGGGAGTTTGGAAGTGATAATCGAGCAGGAATCGAGGGAACACTACACAGAATATCAGCCATTCGCAACCGTAAAGGCGTGATCATCGGCTTGACGTGCCGTGTTGGAAGAGCTGTGACTGGACATGTTGACATGGTTCGCGACCTCCTCGACTGTGGAAAAAGCATTCTATTCCTTGGCAGGTCAGAACTCTCGTGAAACTTCGCCTCTCACTCAAAACTTGTTTCTGCAGACCCGGTGTTGGAAAAACAACTGTTATCCGAGAGATTGCGCGGGTCCTTGCTGATGATCTACGCAAGAGAGTGGTGCTTACACACCCAGGACATCTTTCTTTTTTTCCTCTTTTTTGCGCTTTTCCATTTTCAGAGAGGCCAGGAGAGTCCGTGACAATGGTCTAATGCTATGATGGATGCTATCAGGTGGTGGTGGACACCAGCAATGAGATTGGTGGTGACGGAGACGTGCCACACCCGGCCATCGGTGGTGCACGAAGAATGCAGGTGCCAGATCCGTCAATGCAGCACAGAGTTATGGTGGAAGCCGTAGAGAACCATATGCCACAAGTTGTGATCGTGGACGAGATTGGGACGGAAGCAGAGGCTCTTGCCTGCCGGACAATTGCCGAAAGAGGAGTGATGCTGGTTGCTACTGCGCATGGGCAGACACTGGAGAACATCATCAAGAATCCCACGCTTTCTGACTTGGTACATCAATCGCATTTATAGTTTTTCTTCTGCGTGTTGCTCTTGGTCGTCCTTACGAGCTTTTTTTCTTCTTTTTTTCTTTCAGGTTGGTGGCATCCAAACAGTGACTTTAGGTGATGACGAAGCACGAGCAAGAGGTACGCAGAAAACCGTGCTCGAAAGGAAAGCTCCACCGACATTTTCAATACTCATTGAGATGAGAGAGCGGAGCCACTGGATAGCACACCAGGTACAAACAATATGTTTTTCGATCTCTGGATCCATCTGTTTTTCGCTTTTCTCAGTCGGACAAGAGCGTAGACAATCTTCTACAGGGAAAGCAACCCGTCGTTGAGGTAGAGAACCAAATAAATTTTCTTTCTTCCTCCAAATTGTAACATGAAGCCCTGTCGATTGCAGATGCGAACAAGAGATGAAAACTTTAGAGTTGTCATCGAGAAGCGATTGTATGACAAGGAGGAGCACGAGCGGTCGGATGTTTCCAGTCTGGTGATGGCCAGCAAATCCTCTATCAAGCTTGGCAGCTCCTTGTTCCAGGAAGAAAACAACTGGGTATCAAAGATAGGTACGCTGTTTAAGTTTCTCGAGATAGAAAAAGTTGCGAGTTTTCTTAAGCAGGCTACATTCCCGACAAAGATGCTATGCCCGAGAACTGGGTGAATTACATGGGGAAACAATCCCACTCGACTGGTAGGAAGCTCACGCTAGAGGAGGAGGACCAGTTAGCAGTCGACTATGGTTTCCTACCACCCGGTAAAAGAGGCTCGAAACGAGGACCTAGAGGAATCAGGCCTCGCTGAGAAACTTCCACTGTATAGTGAAGCCTTGTACAGGTACACAATCAAACTTCCCTAGAATATAAAGGGATATACATCTTATACATGACTATAGCGATTCAACACCAATGGTTCTGACGCGCGTGTTGAAGAATTAAAATCCCTCATTGCTTGACGACACCAACTTCTTGCTCTTTTTTTTCCGTCACTGCCTGCATCAGAAAGTGGAAGTGATCTTAACCAGTCATGGAATCAAGATCTGCGGAACCTAGGGGGAAGTATTCTTCTAAGACATCTTGTAATCTTGCTTGGAAGAATGGCATATAGTTTTTCCACCGCTGGTAAATCAGATGCTTGTGAAAAGAAACTTTGTTTTATGGTGAGGATGGGTTTCACAAGTCCACACCACATTTATATGAGATTAAGAGATGTTTTGTTTCATTCCTCTAGAACTTTATAATCTAGAGGCCTAGACCATTGCCACAGCAACACGATACTAAGTATTGCCATTCCAGTGTGACACCGTGAACATCCATGGAAGCAACTTAGTCACACCCGTCTAAATTAAATAAGCGTAGCGAGTCTTTACCTGTATCAGGAGTCCTTTGAAATGCATAAACGTGGAGATAATCGAGGCCACATACCACGCCCCAAGCACGGCTCCTGTGGGGCTGATGCTCGAGCATCCTTATGATCATTCTGCAACGATTGTACCCGATGATCGCTTTTCTAATGCAATTGTTTGCCCAATCAATCATTGCGGGATCCTCTTGCTGTTCCTCCAGCTTTCTAAAGTAAAAGCTCCCTACTTAACAGTCTTGGTCAATCAAGCGATAGCTATACTCCGCAACATAGTGCATTAACCATAGAACATTGCAACTTCTTCTGGACTATAAGAGCCTTGCCGTATCCTCTAACGAATCTTCCCCAACCTCGTGCTGCACTGCCCTGCACATTTCCTCAGCAGGAAGCGTTCGTGGGGATTTCAAAACGAATTTCATGTCGAAATCCATGTGCACAGTGGAGAAGCTTCTTGCCTACAGATCCATTCCGATATTTATCTGCTTGTTGTGGAGGGTTGCAAATCTCCCTATGTAAAAGTCCTAGTCAATCAAGTGATACCTCCAAGGGTTCGGCACATCATTGTATATTTAGAATATATATTTAAAATACTTAAATATTTAAAGATATACATTATTAATCACTTATAAGAATTCCTATGTAATTCGCTCATTTTGCACATTGCAAAGTCTAGATCTAAGTCTAGATTTGGATGCTAAAACCTTTTTAGAAATCCCTTTTTCAAAAGAACATCTACCATGTTAACATTATTAATCTGTGTCCTCATTGTCATTTATACTTTTGGAAGATTATTGGACAATATGTTATCAACTAGATCATGCAATTTCATCAAATAAGCTGTTCAAGCTTGAGGTCTCTCTAAAACTGGCCATGAGATAATAAGATTGAGATTTATAAAGCTCTCTTCCACAGAAATATGGAGATCACTGCAAGAAAATTCAGCCTCTTGAGATCTATAAACAATGTATTCACTCACAACACACTTGAAATGATAAAAAAGTGGCAGCAGCCAATGCCAAATTAACACTAAATATGGGTTTGAGCTTTCCCTAACTTTGTAATGGGAAATTTGTGTCAGCCAAGGAGTCTTTCTTTGCATTTAGTGGCCAAATTGTTTTGCTTAGATGGCATAATTGGTCTTGTATAGATGGATATTAAATGGTCCTACACCCTCAGTGCAGCTGCATTAGAGAAGCTTTGGCAAACCAATATGTGTTTCTTCTCTCCTAGTTAAAAGAAAAATTAATCTGTGTAATTCAAAAATAAATACTTATAAATACACTTATAGAAACAATGATACCAGTAAGAAGATTGGTTTTTTTTAGACACTCAAATGATATTATAAAATAAACAAAAATATAAATAATGAAACAATATTAATATACAAGAAAAGTAGTTTACAATATAAATGGTTCAAAAATCTATTCAGCTTTTGCATTTTGACCAGAAACATAAAAAAAAGGTCAAATAATATTGACAAATAACATGTTAGGAAAATACCAAACAAGATTTTCAACAATAAATGCTTAGAAATATGGCATAGGATATAAAGAGAATATGGGAAAGCTTCAAACCAACATTTGGAGTAGACATTGGTGGGATGGATCAGCATGTTTTTATCAAATAAATCCTATATTTGAAGCAAAAGCACCAATTTACACAATAAAAATATATTGACATAAAAATGATGTCTCCATACACCAGACATATAACAGTACATCGAAATAATTAAAAATACATGGATACCAGAAAGAAAAATGACAAGAATAATAAAAATAAGTAAAAATCAAAATCATATTATAAGTAAAACAGAATTTCCACTACAACCACATATGTAAGAAGAACAATAAATAGGATCAATAAGAAATAATTAGGATATAACCCATACAAAAAGAAAAATCCAAGACAAACATATATAACATTATCAAGAGCACAAACACTAAAACGCATATATTATACAGACCAATTGAACATATATATTAAAATTAATTAGGATGAAGCTAAAGAGGTAACAAGAATAACAATAAAAGTAGCATGACAATTTTATCAAATAGATAAAAAGAGAAAAATAGCTAATTAAATAATTATACAAGTTTTAAATATGATATCTACCTTACCATTTTTGTAAGAAGTAAGAACATAGAAATATAAAGACTTATTTTTAAATAAATAATAATTATATACACATATTATAATACTATATGCAAATTGTGAGTATATGGAATATGGAAATGGAATATAGAAATGTGTATATCAATTATCCGAAAAACTTATATATAAGAGTGAGTAGTCTAAATTGAAATCAATCTAATAATTATCAAAATCCCACTATTTTAGTATTAGTATATGGTATTGTAACCATACACTTGGACCTCACATCATCCCTTCCTCTTGGAATGATAAAAAACAATTAAGGTTCTCTAGTGGATGAGCCAAGATTTAAAGGAACATCAGGAGGAGGCATTAGTAGATCTACTAATGATGTTAATTGTTCCTTATCCTTTTGTATAAATCATTTTAACCATTATATATGCATAATTTTTGTTTGTTAGATGTTATGCCAAACCTCATAAACTTGCAGTCTAATTTGCCCTAACACTCCCTTTTATTGAGCAAAAAGCCTTTTAAATAAACCATGTACTATAAAATTGGGAAAACAGACTAATATTAAGTCATCCACTTTGTACTTTGCAAGTGGACAATGATAGGAGTTATAGTGTCACTGTTGTCCCACTTGTATATAGCTGAAGTGTTTAGTAAACTCTATCTAAACCAATGGAAGAATATTTGTTTAAATACTAATCCTAAGACCTAATGTTGGCAGATCATGGG